CCAATCAGTGTTGCCTGCAAAGATTTTTTTGTTTCTGTGATGTACCAACTTTATGATTATGTTGCCATTTAAACTTTTTTTTAAAAAAATTAAAGCAATTCCTGGCCTCTTGGCATACTAACGGGCCTTTGGTGGACTAAATGTTGCAGTGTGGCCTCCCTGCCGAGGGACTGTATTCTGATTTCATGTCTAAGAATGAACAAGACAGGTGTCCTCACCACAAGACAGAACACCCAAAGGAGGTACCAAAGTAGACTTCTCATTTTGTGTATTATATTTTTTTAAAAGAAGAGGACATTCTTTTTGACCCTGTTGTTATATTGAGCCAACTCCTAGCGGCCCCTCCAGTGGGTTTTCAGAGGTAGTTAATCACATGGGAGGAGATTGCCCATCCTTCTCCCACAAAGCGGCCAGTGGGTTCAAACTGGCTGCCTTTTGGTTGGTAGGGAAACTCCTTATCACTCTGCCAAGAGAGCTCCCTCCTTTTGACCCTAAATATAGAATTTATAAGAAATTTTCCTTTTACATCTTTACACTCAACAGGGTAACTCTCTCAAAGAAGAGTACAAGTTGGAAAGTGAGAGAAGAACCAGTAGACACATGACTCATTTTTAAAGTGATCCACAGGATAGGAAATTGGAAGATAAATACTCTTTTAGATCTCTCAGAGGTTTCTCATGGGTCAGCTGCACCAAGCATTATGCCAAGCCAAGGTTAGTATTCTTGGCTAAGAGTAGTTATCTGTAAGCACACTTTGGTCTCATCATGAGAATTCATTAGTTTAGCTCCCCAACATCTCCTGCATGCTGTGTTTAAACTGGGCTACAAATTCAGGTAAAAGCTATATAATTCTCCCTGTTTTTCTATAAGTTGCACATGATTGAACATGTTCTCCTCTTTTTCACAACATAAAGGGCTATCAGATCAGGGATTTTTCTTATCCTGTTCCCTCTTGGTTGGTTGGTGATTATTTTTCTAATGGTTAGATAGCTTATAATTAATAGGATTTCTTCCATTTGTGTAATTTGAGCCTGGGTTTATGTAGTTGGCTCAATGTTGTTATGTACTGTGAGACAGAACAGATTCATGGCTCACCCTCCAGTGTGTTTTCAGAGGCAGTGAATCACACGAGAGGACATTGCCCATCTTTCTCCTGTGGAGTAGCTGGAGGAGTTAAATTGTGTGCTTTGGCTCCTTTCCACTAAGCCACCAGAACTCTGTTTTCTAAGAGCTGCCAAAAAGGAGTGCTAGTTCATGGAACATTTTACTGTTCTGAGCATGTCTGAATGCAGCATCTGTATTCCTTGGAAGAAACTGAGGGACTATGTCCTGTTGTGCTACCAACCCAAAGGTCTATGTTTCCTGGCATAGACGTCAGGAGATTTTCAAGACTTTGCTCTTCATTGGAACTAGGAACTATGGTCCTGAAGCCTGAGGCTCCACTAAGCCCCTTGCAGCCATTCATTTCTAAGTATTCTGCACTTCGAGAAAAAAAAGTTGTTATAGGGAAAAGCACTATCACCAGGACACTGCCACTTACCAACCCTAAAACTAACATGCTTCACCTACCTCATATTACTGAGAGAGGGTACTGCCAGCCTGCCCTGTGGTCATGGGCAAGAGGCGATCAGTCACTGCATCCAGGATGCGGTCTCTTCATTTGCTGAACAGGGTAGTTAAGGGTGGGACCCAGGGGACAAAGCTGGGCATTAAGGAATGAAGGCCTAGAAAGAAAATAGCTTGCTATTGTTAAATGTATTAATTCTCTTTGACCAGAAGAGTCCGAAAAAGGAAGCAGCAGGTTGTCAGATGGTGTTCATTGATTCTAAACAAATAATGGACTGTTTAGGAATCGGTGAAGTCTTCTAACTGATTGAGCTGTAATGGAGACACTGCAATCAGTAGTAAGAATTAGAATTGGGACAGACTCTGGAGATACAGGATGAGGTCATATTTTGAAGAAAAAAACTAAACAAACACTAATGATCCTTAAGTCTCTAAATGCAACTATGAACTTGGCTTTTGTACGCTTTATATAAGCAGTGGCCTGGCTACTCACAGGCCATCTGTGCCAATATCCATAGTTTACCAAAAGTTAGAAAGCTAAGCAGAATTTATTAAGTGGAAAGAATAAAAAGGCATATAAATATTTTGTTTAACACGTTGCTGTACACTTTTTTTAAATTTACTTTTTTTTAAATTTCAATGAACATCTACAGAGATTTTGGAATTCCATTCGTTCATTGTTGCTGTACACTTTTAAATTGATGACCGACTGTGCTTAGAAACACATTTTTTGATGTATTACTGAATAATTAACAAATAAATGCAATAGTACACACCAAAAAAATGCATTTCCTATCCTAAATTGCATCTTGGCCAAAATTCTCAAACTTGTGGAACCTCTTTGCTAGTTTCTGCCCCTTGACTACCTCAACAAGTTCAGGAAAAATAAGTGATCAAAATAGTAGGAAGATTTTTTTGGCTAGGGCAAAGGCAGTGAAAGAGAAAGCAACTGCATATGTTACATGAAGATATTCATTGCACACTTCTGGTTAGAACATCTGATGTTATAAATTATTTTACTAGCACTTGAAAAGGATGTGAAAAATCAGATGCCTTGACATTCCTTGTTAAACCCAAAAAAGTAACTTTTCTGCCTTCTTTGGAAGGAGCTCCTTATTTGACTTAACTAGCCTGGAAACGAAGGAGGAATATTTACAAGTGGTAGTTTGCAAAGTGAAAAAGCAGGAATGTGGTAGAAAAGAAGCAACACCCCTTTCCCTTTCTCCAACCTGAGAATCCCAAACTGATGGGGCCTGACAGTGTGTGCTTTTAGCGCCCTTAGTGCTTCTGGGATTAGGGCCCAGGGCTTGCATGGACAGTCGCCCAGGCGTCGGCTCAGAGCCACCGCGTGGCACGTATTTGCAGAGGAAGAGACAGTGGAGAGGGTTCAGGCGAGAGTGCAGACACGAGACCAGGACACTTAACACTGAAAGCAGAGCTGTGCACACGAAGGCCTGGAAAGCTGTTGTTTCTAGTCAACGCTGCCAGCCACAACGGCACTTGTAACATTGTTGTGCTGTCTGTGCTCGGAGACCTTTGTCTGGTGGCTGAGCTATGCAGGGTGTTTGAAGCCTGTGTTCTATTGGACCCACAAACCGGAGCAGGTGTGAGCCATTCTGTAAACGAGCAGCGGCCACAAGGGGGCGCAGAAGAGCCTTTCGATGATTGACAGGGGAGGGGACTGTTTAATTTCTACTCTCGAGAATTAAAGTATCAAAGCAGACCCGAGCCAGCCGAGCTGTTCGCAGCTGGGATGAGGCAGCGAAGATACGAGAGGCAAGGAAGAATTGAGGGGCTTTGTCCGATAGTGCTGCCAACAAAAGGCACCCCTGCTCCATGGGAGGAAGACAGACACTCCCCTCCCTCCCATTAGATTCTTGCAGGACGTGGCTTGAGGGTCAGCTGAGAGTTGGTTCTGGCTCCACCAAGCTCCTCCCAGAAGCCACACCTTTCCCCCAAGTCACCTTCCACCAGGGCCCTTTTTTCCAGAGATGAGGGTTTCTCTTTTCTTGCTCAACTCCTGAGGTTATACACAAAGATAAGACAGAAACTGAGAGACTGCTCTTCCCACGCAGCCACCCCTCTGGCCTGGAGTAAAGCCATCCGTTTCTAAGGGAAGAAACCGGACGTTTTGATTTTCCCTACTGTTTAAACTCTGGGCCCTACCCAAAGACGGGGCAACCCTTGGTGTGGAGTTTTAGGGCATCTACAAAGATCTCCAACACCAAAACTTAAAGGCATCAATTCCTCTGTGAGGTGTTGAAGAGTGCTAAGTATCCGCTGGACTGCCCAAAGACCAAATAGGTATATCTTGGGAAAGTGGAGGCAAATATGGCAAGGTTTAGTTTCACATTCTTTGGGCATGTTGCTAGGAGAGGCTATTCCTTGGAGGGCAACATACTTAGAAAGATGGAGGGTCTGCAAAAGGCAGGAAGCTCCTCAACCAAGTGGATTGACATAATGACTGCAGCAACGGGCTCGAGCGTCAGAGACGATGAGGATAGCACAGGATCGGGCAAGGTTCAGGTCTGTTGGTCATAGGGTCGCTGAGCCTAACAACAACGGGGAACTCAGAAGGGCTGGTGGCGCCCTGATTAGGTCTGCTGTAGGTCTGCTGCTGCTAACCACTAAGTAGGCTGCGCCATTAAAGAGTTACTTCCTTGGAAATCTTGTCTTACCGGGTCACTGAGGCAACGATCAACACCACGGCCGGCCGCGGGGACAGCCTGTGGAGAGCTCCTCTCCCCTGCGCACAGGTCCTTCAGAAGGGCCTGCGGTGCGGTTCGGGGGACGGAGGTACAGTGGCAGCTGCTTCACTGTCCACCCGGTTACGGTGCGCGGGTCCGCTCTCGGGCCCCTTGGAACAGTGATCAGTACGCAGAAGCCAGGACCGGGCAATTCGCCGGCTTTCGGGGAGGGGGGTTGTGCGCCCTGGTTCGGTAACAGATCCCCAACTTCTGAGGCTGTTAATGCGGACAGAGTCCCTGGCTTTGAGGTCAGACACGCGAGCGCCTCCTGGACGTCGGGGATCCCCAAACTTCCCTCCCTTGCTGACCCTTTCTTACCGCGCAGAGGGAAAGGAGTGTCCTCTCAGGCCACCGCAGGAAGACACCGCGACCCTCGCACACCCCGCATTCTCACTCGGGATTGGCCGCGCGATCATGCCCCCGGCAGGTCCCCTCGCGCCTCGCCCTGAGCGGCGACCTCTCCGCCCCCTTGGACGCCCCGCCTCCCTGTCCCGGCCTGGTCCCCACGCCAGCCCCGCCACACTCACTCTCTCTCTCTCTCTCACACACACACACACACACACACACACACGCACAGATTCGGGCCAGAGACGCCCGGGTCGGGCCCAGCGCCGCGCTGCTTCAGCACCTGCCCAGCTGTGTGTCCTGGTGTCAGCATCTGTGTAACCGTCGGGGCCAGGGAGGGCCATGGTTTGTCTGCCTGGGCCCCTGGCGGCCAAATTGTCGCAGTTTTTGCTCCTGTGGCTGAGTGCCCTTGGTGAGTGGAACCTGAGATCAGAAGAGGAGCTGAGGTGGGGTTGGGGAGGGGGGTGGATCCGACCCTGAGGGTTTTAGGCGCAGAATGGGGAGGGGGGGGGACTCCTGCCTCTGACCTTCCCCGTCCCTTGCCCCTCAAGCCATCGCTGATTAGTCATCCGTGACTAGTACTGACGTCTGTCGCCCAGACAGAGCTCCGCGCCTGTTAGGGACGAAGGAATTGGTGGGATAGACCCAGATGATCCTATGGTGACCATTCCTCATCCCCATTCCTCTCTGACCTCCACCCTGGCAAAGCCAGATGCTGAGCTGCTGGATGAGACGTTGGCTAAAGAGCTTAAAGATTTAATTCCAGCCACCCCCCATCTCCCAACGCAAAAGTTGATTCGCAGGTCTGGGAGGAATTCCCTGGTCTCCAGACTTGATCCAGGCGTGCCTTAACACTTGATGGATCTTACACTGATGCCCAGTCCCTCTTACCCCCTCCCCCAGTTTCCTGCCCTGGGAACCAAGGGAGGTGCCCCAAAAGAGCGACCTGGAGGTCATTTGGAACACAGGAAATAGGGAAGGATTCAAATACTGATGAGGGACTTGTGACCACCATGAGATCTACCACCTCTATTGGTTCCCAGAGCTAAAAGAGGAGAAAAAAGGACGAGGATGGCAGAGTCAAAAAGGGAAGGAAGCCTGGGCCCAGGCATCCTCACCTCTGGGAAAAGAGGCACCCGCAGGAACTCAGTGGCCTCATGTCCTTTTCCAGGATCGAGGCTGGAGGTGAAGGGGGCTTTGGCAGCTGGTGTTGGTGGACACAAGTCTAAGAGGGATTAAGGCCTGGAAGGCCATGGGGTGAATGAAATTCAACTGCAGTGATGGGACTGTGACCTGGACTGAGACCAAGGGGGGGGGGGGCAGCCTCATACCAAGACCCCTTCAGTCTGGTCTTTATCCCAAAGGTATTGGGGCCATGAGGTATTAGGGTCCCAGGACCCAGACACAGTGAGGCTCAAGGAAACCTACTGACTCTTCCAGGCTCCCTCAGCATCTCAGTTCCCCTCTCCCAAACTCAGCAGTCTCTCCCTTCTGCCCTGTTCATTCTATCCCTGACACCCTCACTCCCTTTCTGTTGAGGGTAGGAGATCTCAAACAAGGAAGAAAAATCCAGGTTGGCTGCTCTGCATTCTGGACACCCTCTGCAGCTCATTTGCACCCTCTTTTTTTTTTAAATTTTTTTTTTTTTTCAAATTCCAGTTAGGAATTTGTCTGATACACTCAAGGCCCAATTCAGTGTCCCTACCCTGTTGTCCTGGTGTGGAGCTGCCAAGCCCACAGGCCTTGCAGAGGTTAAAAATGGCCCTCACAGCCTGTGCTCTAGGGCGAAAGGCCCTCTTCGTCTATCTCCTGATGGGCTTTTAAGTTGTTTTGGGCTGTAGTTAAAGACGGCGCAGTGAACACTGGTGTGCAAGTCTCTGAGTATCTGCTGCTGCCCCTGGGGCGTGAGAAGCCCTCTGGGGGAGTTTCTCAGAGAAAGAGGGAAACTAAAAATAGGAGCCCTGGGGAGCCAGCTCCATTTAGGCTCTTGCCTGAGCCCTCACGCTGGTCTGGTCAGGAAAGCAAAGATTTCTCTTTCTTGGGCTGCTTCTGTTTCCTTCCCTCATACCCAACTACCCTCTTTTTCCTCTCTCAGCTGGCACCGTGGGCTCCCAAGGAAGGGCCGACAGGTCAGGGCAGGGCAGGGACTTCCTCTCCAGCTGACCTCCAGGATTCTGTACTTCTTCCTGACCACTGGCTAGGGATAGGGAGCATTTATTCAGACACCTTGTGCATGTAATGAATTTTAACTCCTCTCTAGGATTTGCAAAGTGAAATTTTGAATGTGAGGCTGGAGGAAACCACTGGGTTCCTGGCCCTGGCAGGTTTCTCCTAGGAAGAGTTTTTTGGCAGCTGGGCCAGGTTGCTGCAGAAAGGCAAGGGATGGGTTAAGCCTCAGCCTCTCCCCCAGAACTGGGGGCCAGGTTCTAAGGAACTCCTTGAGGTGGGGGTTGTTTTTGCCTGGAGGTCCTCCGGTCTAGTGCCCCCACTCCCTTCATTGTCTTCTGGCTTATCAGCCCCTGCAAGTTTCCTGCCAGGCCTGCAGGGACCCGCCAGGAAATGGGAAAGGTTTGCTGCAAAGGCTAAGGAATAGAGGTGGAGGATCTGTGAAGACGTGCATCCGGAAAGTGGGGATGACGTGCATCCTGGCCAGATCAGCTGCCCGGCCCAAGGTGGCCTTGAGTTGCAGTCCAGAAGGGTGAACAGCTGTGCCGCCATCTTCAGCCTATGCCTGTGGGATGGCCGTCTGCTCCCACGGAGAGGTGACATCTCAGAGCTTTGTACTCAGGCTAAGGAGCAGAGGTCCAGCATCCTCAAGCTTGGCCTGGTACAAACCTAAGGTTATTCCAAATAGCCTCTGGGACAGGCAAAAAGTGACAGCTTTAGGGCCTCTCAAGGATTTGATAATCCCCTCCTTGAAACAACCTTTATAAAGGTCTAATTGCGGCTTTTGTTCACATCCCAGTACTGCCCACTGACATACTGAGAGGTTCCGCCCAAATATCCTGGACCCCACATTGACTCTCTGGAGGCTTCTGGGTCTCAATCCTCTGCCTGGCCAGGGCCTGAGCACTGAGCTGTGGCCCTCTCTCCCTCCTCTTTCCTCTCCCCTCTCTCCCTTTTCTTCCCCTCCTCCTCTCTCCTACCTCCCCTTTTCTTCTCTTCCTACCCTCCGTCCCCCTCTCCCCTCTCCCTTTCTCTCTTTCCTTCCCTCCCCCTCCTCCTCCTCTCTCTTCTTCCTTTCCCTTTGTCCACCCCTCTCCCTCCTCTTTCTTCTTCTTCCCCCTTCCCCTCTCTCCCCTCTCTTCTTCCTCCTCTTTCTTCCCCCTCCCTTCGCCTGTCTTCCCTTTCTCATGCTGGCGTTTCAGGAGCAGCCTGTGGGATAATCCCGAACCTTTCAGCCCCCGCTGCCTCTCCAGGCGAGAAGCTCTGACCCGTGTCGCTGCTCACCTCCCTACCTTTGTTGGGGAAACTGAGGACACAAGCTATGTGTGGTGCGGGTCAAAACTGTTAAATCCACCCTTCCTGCTCTATACCTTCCTCTCAATATAAATCTGACCCCTCTTTTTGGTGTCCAGAAATCTCAGGATAAAAAGGAGGTCTTTTTTGGTTTACCTTTTTCTGGTTTTTTTGTTGTTGTTGTTGTTTAAAAAAAACACACACACACAACAACAATCAAAAGCTCCTTATCCCCGTTGCAAACCCACGGGGACGGCTCGCCAGTCCCAGTGCAGCACCTAGCACTGCAGGGGTGGGGGTCCAGCGGTTGTCGGGCCTGGATGGTGGGTTTCCTCACTGGGAGCGGCCCCAGGCGCTCACTGCTTGCTCCTGTCCGCAGCGCTCCCAGGGCGTGCCCAGGTGGAGTTACACGTGCCCGCTGGCCTCTCCAAGGTAGAGGCGGTGGAGGGAGAGGAAGTGGTGCTGCCGATGTGGTACACTTTGAGAGATGGCATGCCTTCGGTAGGGCTAAAAGAGAAGCCCTGGGTGCTCTGGTTCCTGGAGAAGACAAAGACGAGCCAGGTGAGTCGGGTGTAACCCAAGGAGGGCGAGAGAAAGGGCTGGCAATCACAGCACAGGGAGGGAAGGGTTAGAGGACTGCGAGAGTCATCTCCAGTTCACAGAGCTTGAAGGTGTCCCCACATCATTCTCTTCCCCACCCCGGAACACTCCAGCAAGCATTGTGGAAGTCGGGAGACATTCGACTCCATTGTGGCGGGAGGGTGCGGAGAGAGACGTGGAAGACAAGTAACACAGCTTTTAAACCGGAGCCTCCTTTTGTGTTTTCACATTTTCTGTGTTTTGCATATTGTCTGCCCTACTGGATTATCCAGTAAACAGCTAGGTGAACCTGGGCTCTCTGGTGCTGATTTACTGGTCTGTCAAACTCACTGCTCTCCTTCTAGTGGGCACTGACTCAGAGCCGCTGTGAATTATCTGCGAGGAGATTGCCTGTCTTTCTCCTGCGCAGCCACTGATGGATTAAAATCAAATTCCATATCAAAATCGAACTCGAGCCCCCAACCCACTTTGAGTTAGCAGGGCACTTCGGAGTCTGTAAATTGCTTGGGAAGAGATTGCTCCTCTTTCTCCCGTGGAGAAGCTGGTAGATTCGAACCACTTACCTTTGGGCTGACAATGCAACTCCCTACAGTCTAGGCCACCATAACTCCCTACAGTTCAGTGTGTGAGCACAAATAAATCGTGGACTGTGCGCCCCTGTCTATCAGAGGGCGCTTCCAGGAAGGTAGCACGTGTTCTCTGCCCTTTTACACCACCTTGATAGGAGAGGGTAGGCTCCTCCCCCATACTTGCCGCTCTTTCATCACAGGTGACCTACTCAGAGGTGTATCTACCCAGAAGTGAATAAAATATCCTTTTGGGAGTCATTCTTTTGCACACGGTTCCCTCTAACGTCCTGGGCAATGTGCTTACAAGTCCAAATTTTCTTTTTTAAAAAAAATTTCATCTTGTATTTTTTAAACGAAACTTGCATCTACCCTGGCAACCTACCTAGCCTCCTATTTAGAATATCCTTCCCCTTCTCATTATATAATCTTTGTAAATGCACCAAGTGGGTGGTGAACATGATGGAGGAAAACAAGAACTGTTCTGTGAAGGGAATCAAGGGCAGTGAGAAAGTGGCTGCCTAGGAGCACAGATTAGGTGGGATAGATGGCATTGAGAGATCTCTGCAGAATGCCAGCTTGAGGGAAGGAGGTTGTCTGGGTATGCTGATACATACTTGAGATTTTATATATATTTTTTATATAATATATATTAAATATATCTCTATATCTATCTACTTGTTGTTGAGGACGATTGAGTTGAAACGGACCCATAGTGGACCGTCTAGGCTGACCATCCTTCTCCCACAGATTCAAACCACGTGCCTTCAGGATGCAGCGCACGAGGCCATGAGAGTATATATATATATATATATAGTTATTTATCATTATTGTTAAGTGCTGTCAAGTCGTAGATGACTCATAGTGACACTGTGAATGAAAGACCTGAAAACTTATATAATTTTCATCGTTTCTCTAAGTTCATGGAGTTTCCAGAGGCAAGCTATTTTGGAAGTAGATGCCACTCACTCCTGCTTCCAAGCCTGTTTTAATCTGGGAGCTCCACCAAACACTGGCCACTATGGGTAACCATTATCACATTTGACACATCAGTGTCACAATGTTTAGCATCACAGCAACCACAAGTTAGCTCTGCACAGCAAATTGACACAGACTATATGTATATATGTATATATGTATATATGTATATATGTATATATGTATATATGTATATATGTATATATGTATATATGTATATATGTATATATAGAGAGAGAATACATACAATATATACATATATGTGTGGAGATTATATACATACATACATGTGACTATTATACACATACATATGTGTGGGGATTATAGACATAAATATGTATGTGGAGATTATATACATATATATCTGGTGGCCTAACGGCAAGAAGTTTCACTGTAATTCCAAAAACCTGAAGTTTGAGGCCACCACCTGCTCCCATGTGATTAACTGCCTCTGAAAACTCACTAGAAGATCAGCTATGGGTAGGTTCCAACTCTATGATGCACAACAACATATATCTAGATATATATAATGTATAAAAATACAATAACAGATAGTTGTCATATATCACACTAGGTGCTGGCATACAGCGAAGGAACTTCGTCAGGCAAACATGGAGCATCCCTGGTCTACACTATGCCCTCTCGGAATGTGTCACTTCGGCTACAGAACCTGAAGGAGGAAGACTCTGGATCTTACCGCTGTTCTGTGAATGTGTATGATAGTCAGCACAGACCTTTGGGTGACAGCAGCTCAAGTTTAGAACTTAATGTTCTAGGTGTGTGAGAAGCACATTCCCAATATATTTCAATCTCATCCCTAGGGAGTGTCAGGCAGGTCTCTCTGCAGAATGGCTGAGTATAAGCGATGGAGGAAGGGCAAATACAGCCACCAAAGGGAAAGTGGGATGTGAATGTGTGCATGTATGTGCATGGAGGGTGGAAAGGGGCCTGCACGTGAGATGGGCAGGAGAATCTGCCAGTACCTGAGTATGAGCTTTTCTTCTCTTCTTCCCGCAGTCCCTCCAGCTCCTCCATCTTGCCGTATCCTGGATGCACCCTTCCTGGGGTCCAATGTGACTCTGAGCTGCCAGTCCTCAAGGAGTAAACCTACGGCCCATTACCAGTGGGAGAAACTGCCCCCATCTCCCCAGGTTTTCTTTGCACCAACTTTAGGTGAAGAAGCTTCTGGGGATAGTTGTGATTGTGGCTGGTGAAGGGAAAATCTGAGAGATACCAGAGAGACTGGAGTGGCGATACTTAAAAGTACTGGGAAAGAAGAGGGTGGTAGGGATGACAGGCTGATGGAGGGAGAGGAAGGCCTATCAGATACAGGCATCTATACACTAAAATCTCTAGAGAGGTGCATGGCCTCATGGCTGACAGTTGTTGTTGTTGTTTTGTGCCATTGAGTCACTTGCAACTCACAGCAACCCTATGTACAAGAGCCCTAAACGCCACTCTACCCTGTGTCAACCTCGCTGTCTCAAACACACTCATTCCCACCATTCCACTTACAGAATTGATCCATCCCATCAAGGGTTTTCCTGTCCTGCGCCGTCCCTCCACTCTCCCAAACATGATGTCCCTCTCCAAGGACAAGTCCCTCCTTGCAACATGCCCAAAGTATGTCAGACGAAGCTTCAGAATCCTTGACTCCGAGGAACATTCTGGCTTCACCCTCTCTAGGACAAACCTGTTTGTTCTCCTAGCAGTCTATGGTATATTCAACACTCTTCTCCAGCACCACAGCTCAAAGGCATCAATTCTCTTTCTATCATCCTTAGTCACTGTCCAACTCTCTGATGGCTGACAGTACTGGGTTCAAATTCCTGCTTTGCTGTGTGACTTTGTACCTCTGTTTCTTTATTTGTAAAACAGGGATATCAGTGGTCTTGATTTGAACATACTAGTGATAAAAAGGCATTTATGGAGATATAATTGGATCATTTTAAAAATGGTTTGAATATTAAATGCTTTTGGGGAATTATTATTAATATGTTCGGTATGGCTCTGGTTTATAACAGTAATTGCCTTTGATTAATGTAATTAATCATGTATAATTAATTCTTTTTTATATCTTTTATATATTTTAATGTGTCTGATAGATAGATACTGTATACTTTGATATATCTGATAGATAGTAAAAAAATCAGTCATTGCTGTCAAATCTGAAGAAACTCAGAGCTGACCCTCCAGCAAGTTTTCAGAGGCTGTAAATAACATGGGAGGAGATTGCTCATTTGGTGGATTTGAACTGGCAGAGGGATGGCCTTTCAGCTAGTAGCAAAACTCTATGGACTACACCACCAGAGACAGATAAAACAAGTACAGCAAAAAGTTAACAGTTGTTCAGTTTAAGCAGTATGGTTTTATTTTTCTACCTTCCATTTGACCATCTTTGTGATTTAAGAAATCTGGACGGGTAGTACTCACCTCAAATTTACTGTGAAATTTTGATGAGTTGTTTCTGTTGTGTGTTACCGTGTCTGACCCAACTCATAGCTGACCCTCCAGCAGATTTTCAGAAACTGTAAATAGCACAAGAGAAGGCTGTACAAATTTCTCCTTCAGAGCATCTGGTAGATTGGAACTACATGTGTTTGGCTTGGCAACACAATTCCTATTAAGCCACCAGAGCTCCCTTTTAAGATGTTGTTGTTGTTGTGGGCCATCAAGTCAGGACTGACTCGTAGCTGACCCTCCAGCAGATTTTCAGAGACAGCAAATTGCACAGGAGCTGTCTGTCTGTCTTTCTCCTATGGAGCTGCTGGAGGATTTGAATCGCATGTTTTTACGTTGACAGTGCAGTTCCTTACCACTGGGCCACCAGAGCGCCCTCCTTTTTAAGTTGGGACATGTGAAAAGTTAGTCTTTGCATTGAGTAATCAACTCAGAAACTCACTGCATGAGAAGAAATACTCAGCTTTTGGGTTAGCAGCACAATTCACCACTGACTACGCCCCAGAGCTCAGTTTGTATGGAGTAAACAGCCAATAGATATTATTTTTTTAAAAAAGAAGAATCTTTATTATTTTATTATTTTTTTTGTGTGTGTACCGTCAAATCAGATCTGACTGGCACAGGAGGAGATTGACCCTCTTTCTCCAGCAGAGCATCTGGTGGATTCAAACTATGTACCTCTGGAATTGTAGTGCAATTTCTTGCCACTAGGGCCACCAGAGCTCCCGTAGATATTCTTATAATGAATTATTTCATGTGCTCTTTCCAACACCATCAGGTAGACCACATTTCTCTGACTGTATCTAGGGAACTCTGTGGCTTAATCCACAGGGAGTTTGCTGCTATCCCATAAATGGTGCCTCTCTGGCAATTTTAATCTACCAGTGGCTCTGCGGGGCCCTTTAACCCCATTTTACAGATGAAGAAATGGAATCCAGAGATATCAAGCAACTTGCTTGAAAATTCCAGAGCCCAAGTTTTCTAATTCCAGATGTTCTTCCTCTCACACAACGCTGATTTCTAGAAATAAAATGAAAATGATCCTTTGATATTTCTCCTGCCCATCACTTTCTCTTTAGCCTCCTTTCAAAGATCAGTTGGGAAACTGATGAGTAGGCATGGAGAGGGGGACTGAACTAGCAGTTCTACCCCTGGGAAAAGTTCATGTGCTGGGTGTCACATCCTTCATCAGCAAACAGACAACTGGAGTCTCCCAGAGAGGCTGAAGAGGACATTCCAGAGAAGGAGCAGGATTTATTTAAAAAAAAAAATGGAGGGGAAAGCAGTATTAGCTTGCAGACCTGAAGTTTAAACTATTTCCACAGATAACATCCGTGGATCCTTGAAGCTTATAAACCTGTCACCTTCCATGTCTGGAATCTATGTCTGCAAGGCCTATAATGAGGTTGGCACCTCCAAGTGCAACGTGACCCTGGTCGTGAGCACAGGTCAGTGAGGGGTAAGTGGCTATAAAGAGTGGGCAATGGTAGGGAGAGGGCTGAAAAACAAGGGGTGTGCACAAGCTGTTGGCCAAGGCCTCTGCTTGTAATGGGACATGGAGCTTGTACAAGTGTCAAGTACAAATGGAAGCTATTTTCTGATTGACAACTGTTATCTTAAAGGAAGAAGGATGTTTATGCTGGCTGTTGGGAGTGCTCAGAGGGCTGGGAACAATTAGAGTTCTCTCTGACCTGAGGCTTTTCCAGGGCCTGGGTATGCTGTGATTACTGGGGCTGTCGTGGGTATACTGATTGGACTGGGGCTGCTGGTTGGACTGATCCTCTTATACCAACGCTGGAGCAAGACTCAAGAGGAGCCAGCCAACGATATCAAGTAAGACTCCCTGGCCCTGCCACCATGAGGCTCTCTCTCCTTGCTCCTTTCTAGACACTGAGCATTCATATGGCTTCTGTCTAATGGAAAGATTTCATTCCCCCTAATTCCTCTGTGCAAATTTTAAGGATGCTGGAGAAAAGAAGGGCAGTGGGGTAGGGAGGTGAGCAGAGCCTCCAGAAAACACCCACCTTCTGACTTCTTTTTACTTATCTGATGACTAGGGAGGATGCCATCGCTCCCCGGACCTTGCCCTGGCCCAAAGGCTCAGACACAATTTCCAAGAATGGGACTCTTTCTTCTGTCACCTCCGCAAGAGCCCTCCGGTCACCTCATGGCCATCCTAGGCCTGGTGCATCGACCCCCACACCCAGCCTTTCCACGCAGGCCCTACCCTCGCCAAAGCTACCCAGGGTAAATGAGGCCCACCCTACGCCAGTGCTAGCCAGCCCCGGTGGGATCTCTTCCTCTGCACTGAGCCGCATGGGTGCTGTGCCTGTCTTGATGCCCGCCAAGAATCAAGCTGGGTCTCTAGTGTGATGTCCCTGCCACTCACTGACTAAGATGTACGGTGTCTCTCCTTCCAATAGGGGTCAGTCCTAGAACAGAGGCCTGACTCTTGGGAAGGTGACACATTCCGGACCTAGAGCTCTCTGCCTTCTGGCCTAATCCTCTCCTTAGGAAAAAACTGAGACTCAGTAAGACTCTAACTCCTAAGAGGTGGAAGGGCAAGAGGTCGTGGACCTGGGATTGGGAAGAGCCTCTCCACTTCCCCTATTCCACCCAATGACTGCGGGTGAATGCTTAATGAGACTGGCTAGTCCCCAGACCCCTGGTGGGAACTGTGGAGAGTGACTCTGCCAGACTCCCCTGCTCTGTCCCCTCCCCCTTTCTAACATCATCCTCTGCCTTTGTTCCAACTCCCTGCATTAATATACACTGTTCTGCTGACTTGATTTTAAAAGGGGGTTTTGTTTAGTTTTAAATGGGGGCAGGGAACAGGGAAGGTATTTTTAAAAACTGACTTGGCATGTGTTTTTGTAAACATCAATAAACTGTGTTTGTATGGCACTCAACTCATTGTCGTTGAGTCAGAACCGATCCACAGATGTCCTTCCAGTGGATTTTCAGAGGCTGTAAATCACACAAGAGGAGCTTTTCCAGCTTTCTCCTATGAAGCCGCTGATGGATTCACACTGTTCACCTCAAAAATAGTGCACCTCTGGTGGTTTGAATCCACCAGCAGCAAGGGGATGAACATGGAATCCTTTCCATCAGGACTTGCAGATAGCTCCCTTTTCCTCCAGTCACTCTCTTTCCAAAGCCCCAGTTTTGATCCAATCCTTCAGAGTGTCCACCTCAAGTATAACACCTTTTGGTCACTTCAAAGGATGCGTGGAAGTGGAAGGGAGCAGGATTAGACTGGGTGGCACACTGAACTCCAAGGAGGGAGGAGCATTTCTTCACCAGGAAACAAGGGGAGAGGGTGCCAGCCTCTCCCTGTGTTTGCTCAGAGATAGCCAGACTTGCTCTTGACCAGCACAAGAGGTCTGCCCTGTAAGTGCTTCCGCCTCTGCGTCCAGTTGAACAGGCAGCAGGGAAGCAGTTCTTTCTCACCATGGCCTGGCTCCCTGGGTCGTTCCTCTGCCAGACTCTTCTGGGCTTCATCTCCATAAGTGGTGAGGAGAGGGGTGGGGGTGGGGAACCCTGGTGAGCTGCTGGCAGAGGCCATACTTCCCCATCTGGGCCTGTTCACTCAGCGCAGGGCCAGGGGTAACCATGTGAAATGGAGAGGGGCATGGTAGCTGGAAAATAGATTGGGAGCCCAGGGGTTAACCAGCACAGAATTATTTTGCTTGCCCTCACAAACACACCCTCCTACCTGACTCAGAAGGTCCTTTCACCCACAAAAAAAAATGGCCTAGTCCCTCCCGGAAATCTCAGGTTTGAGAAGGGACAGATAGATTGTGACAGGGACTTGGACTCTGAGGGGAGGCCCCTGAGCCTCTATTATGGAAGCAATGGAGTGGGTTGGAGCCCTAAGGTCATCAGGATCTGGTTTCAGCCTTCATTCCCACTGCAGGCCCTGTAGGGGCGTTCTCCGAGCCCTCTTTCCCCTTGTGTCCCCAGCCCCCGGGCTGGCGGTGGTGGTGAAGGTGCCTGCTGAACCTCTAAGCACACAGATGGGCACCACTGTGGAGCTAACCTGCAGCTACAGCACTTCGGTGGGAGTCAACTTTGCCCTGGAGTGGAGCTTTGTGCAGCCTGGAAAACCCATCTCTGCATCACATCCCGTGAGCTGAGAGTGTGGGGTGGGGAGTGTGTGTGTGTATGTGTGCAGGGGTTGTCTTCCCACACGTCAGAGGACTTGGCCCTGAAAGGCAAGACTACAGTAGCCAGAGAAAACAGCCAGGTTTGGGAGGGTGCCTTTGGGATCAATCAGGATGCTTGGATGAAAGACAAATGGAATCTTGTTAGACTTCAGGTCTATTTGATCTACAATTTATTTGCAGTTGTCTTTGCTCTATGCCACCCAGTACCTCTCCCATAGCTGCAATATTCAACTCCTTCGTGTTAGTGCAGAGAGCTCTGGTGGCATTGTCTGTAGGGGTGTCCTACTAACCCAACACTCACACCTTACTATTCAAATTCACTAGCAGTTCCCAAGGAGAAAGATAAGCAAGTGCCTCTGCTAGAAAGCAGTCTGAGATGAGTTCATGTGGCCCTACGGTGTTCCTTCTAATGTCAGTAGTATCACTTTCATGAGAAAGCCATGACAGCTTAAAGTGGTGAATCTAGTTAATTTAGCATCTGAGATTGATTTTGGGGGCAGATAAATGTTCATGGTTCCTGCCATAGAGTAGCAACCTCCTCCCTCCACCTCCTATACCTGTGCTTATGAAGAAAGGATATAGGGTTGATGCCAATACACAGCACACATGTGTATCATATGTCTCCTTGCATGCAGATCCTGTACTTCACCAATGGGCGTCTGTATCCAGTTGGTTCTATGGCAAAGCGGGCCAGCTTGCTTCAAAACCCCCCAACGGAAGGGGTGGCCACCCTGAAACTGAGTGATGTCCAACCTTCAGACACTGGAACCTACCTCTGTCAAGTTAACAATCCACCAGATTTCTACACCAATGGATTGGGGATAATCAACTTCACCGTGTTGGGTAAGGCCAGCTGGCACTCTAAAAGGGCAGTTACATCCTAGCCAATCCAACCATTTAAGTCCACTTGGACTAAGATGGAAAATGTCCCTCTCAAAGTGATCATACTTCAGTTCTGCCCTGCACAGTGAATGTCTTTTCCCTCAGGGCTGGGTAACTAAAGGTCTGAGAAAAAGTCCCTATGCTTGGAGATCTGCTCCAGCCATGTCCACAGAAAACTATCTGTGTCTCTCAGATTCTGTCCCTCCCAAAGCAAACGGCAGAGGAGAGTGGCTTTTAAAGGAGTATGAGCCTCACATCTCTTTGGTGTCTCCTTCCCTGAGCTTTGGTTTGGGGTTCAGAGTTTCCACTGGACCCTTAAACTAAGCCTGCTTAGAGGTGAGTAAGGAAGTGGTGCATGACAACTATTTTTCTGAAGGTCTGCCACGTGCTGGAGATTGTAATCTCTCTTTGTGGGCACATAGAGAAGAACTATATTAATACAGACCTGGAGTTAATATGCACAAGAGTTTTCTAACAATCAGAAATTCCACAGCGGAAATCATGTCCTTGGCTACAGGGTTTCTAGACAGAAAGCTTTCTCTCCCAAAAATTAAACTGGACACCTCAAGTATTAATGGCTGAATTTTTTGGATGCAGGTCTCCAGGTCCTTATTCTAAGGCACCTAAGGGTGAATTTGAACATCCAGCCTTTCTATCATCAGCTAAATGTTTGTGTGTACCATGCAGGGACACCTGTCTGGAGAGAAGCAGGCACTATTTGGGAGGCATCTTGAAGCAGGATTTTCAGTGCTTCGTGTGATACTATGTGTGATTCACATTGCAGTGCCCCCCAGCAGCCCCTTGTGCAGCCAGAGCGGTCAAATCTCAGTAGGAGGCTCTGCTGCTCTGAGTTGTAGTTCTTCCAAGGGAGTGCCCCGTCCAGTGTACAAGTGGGTCCATGTTGGAGCTTCGCCTACACCTTCGCCCGGGAGCATGGTGCAAGGTAAGGACCCAGAACATCCAGGAGCAGGGAACTCAAGGTGGGAATAAACCTGACCTCTAAACCCTACACTCACATGACCAGCTTGATGACAAGGGGTAACACACAAACCAGTTACACCTTTCTCCTGCCTCTTTTTTTTTTTTAAAGTTGGAAATCACAGTATTTATTAAAAGTCTTTCTATGTCATTGTGAATGTTCTTTGATATTTCACTAATGCTACAGAAGTTTGTAAAGGTTAGTTGCAATCTCTCCTGCCTCTTTCATAGCTTTTCTAGTGTTCTTTCCTGTCTGGCTTCCTTCATACTCTGTGACTAGATGACCTGGGAGCATTTCCCAATGTAAATGTTCTCCTGACATCCTGAGAGAGTGAAAGCTAGTGGCATTCAGATGAGTCCTATTTGATACTGCTTTGAGGGGATTTCTTTGGACCACGAAGCCTTTTCAGACTTCCTAAAAGAGAACCTGAGGCAGTAGTAGCATGGGCTAGTTCAAATAATTTAGCCAGTTTCTTTAAGGAGCCAAGTAAGTAGGTAAGAGCCTTGGGTTTCCAGCTTCCCCTCGATATTCCTAGTTGCCCATCTCTCCCCTTAGTGTCAGTCAGAATAAACTCATTATCAACCCGGGACCCAAACCCACCCCACCTACTAAAGCAAAGGTAAAGGAAGGTTTTGGAAAAACTTAGGGTCCATTTAGGGCTACCAGTTAGGGATGCAGTTCTAGCAGTCAAGTACTTTGCTCTCAACTAGGGAAGTGACACAGAGCTCTCTGGTGGCCTAGTGGAAAAAGAGTTACATTGCTAACCCAAAGGTGAGGTTCTCTGGTGGTTCAAATCCACCAGGGGCTCTTTGAAAGAAAGATGGGCAGTCTCCTCCCATGCAATCTGCAGTTTAGAATCCAGTGGAGGGTCACCTCTGAGCTGGCTCTGAGGAAGCATTAGCCAATAAGCACTCACCTCAACTCCATTACAAGTTTTTTTCAACCCTTCATTTGTGTTCAGTAGCCTCTCCTTTAATGCAGCCACTGGGGGTGGAAAGAGCACATTTTGACACTTATGGTCTGAGTTACCTAGGATAAACCACTCCTCTTTTCTTGGCCAATTTCCTCACATTAAATAAATGAAGCTAAGATTATTGTTAAAAATTAAATGAAATAAGCTTTGCTTATAGAATCTGCTCACTTTAATACAATGCTTCCTCTCTACCCTCCAGATGAAGTGTCTGGTCAGCTCATTCTCACCAATCTCTCACTGACCTCTTCTGGCACCTATCGCTGTGTGGCCACCAACCAACTGGGCAGTGCATCCTGTGAGCTTACTCTATCTGTGACTGGTAGGAGACCATGGGCAGAAGGCAGGTTGGCCTGCTCAGACAAGCTGTCTGGGAGGTGAGGAAGGCCTGCCTCTCTGAATCCTGCCTTTTCTTAGGCCGCTCCGAGAGCCGAGTGGTTGGTGCTGTAATTGGGGTGCTCCTGGGCGTGCTGTTCCTGTCAGTGGCTGCTTTTTGCCTGATCAGGCTTCAGAAGGAGAGGAGAAAGCGACCCAAGGAAACATATGGGGGTAGCGACCTTCGGTGAGCAGGGTGGGGGTGGGGTGAGTGGCACAGAGGGGGAGGAAGAGGAAGAAAACAGCAGTCAGCAGGTATCTTCAGGGCTCAAGTAGAGGTCTGTAGGAATGTTTAGGAGTCCATGGTGCTTCTCAGCCTTTTGGTTAAGTGGTGTGAGTGCAGTATAGTCTATGCATTTGAGTGTGTGAGCAAGGAGCGCAGGGTAGAGGAGCTGGTTCAGGCTGGGGCAGAGATCAGACATTACAGGACCCCCCTGATCTCATGTTTAACACTTGCTTTGCAGTTTCATATACAGTGCCAGTTTGGGAATGGTAGTGGGAAATACATGCCAGAAGCTGAATTTGTTCAGATCTCAGCTAACTAGTTCTTTTACGACATGTAGGAACAAGAGGAGAGATGAGAGCTCCCTGTAGAATCAACTCTCACTGCTAGTCTTGGGATTCAGAACAGTGCTTCTCCATGCTTTGTTCTCAGATGGCCTGACAGCAATCACAAGGAATATTAAACATTTAGTTTCCCAGGCTACACCTTATCTCTTCTAAAGCAGAATCTAAGTGTATGTGTGTGCATACAAGGGTGACAGTGTCTCCAGATCTTCAACTTTAAGTCCTGCAGGTGGTTATCAGGCATAGGAAAACTGAAGGCCCTTGGGTTAGGGTATAAGGTCCGTTTAGGGATACACTGGCCTTCCCTAAGAATTTGCTCCTATTAGGGAGGATGCCTTGGCTCCTGGGATCTCCCAGCAGACTTCTGCGCCGGCCAGTTCGGGTACTGGGCTCCTGCAGAGACCCTTGTCTGCCAGCACTGTGGCCACCACCAAGTCCAAGCTCCCGATGGTTGTCTAACTGCCTCCGGATCTCTGGGTGGTAGTGGGGGGAGGTCAGGGGGATAATCAACAATAAAGCTTTTGGTACTTTATTGTCTCCCTCTTTCGGTGGATGGGTGGAATTCCTCCGGGTAGCCCAAAGAATATAAGAGGAAAGGTCATCAAGGCTGAGAGATGATGGCGCTAGGCAGATAGTCTAATTAGGTCCGAGGGTATGCCGTTTCCACCACCATTGACCAGCATTTTGGTCGTAAGGAGAGACTTGTCCAAGCTCCAAGCACCGGCCTTGTGCACTCAAACTCCCTCGCACCTGGCACCCTTTGAACACTTGTACATTCCTCTTTATTGTTCACATTCCAACCCAGCACGGTCACATGCACACACGAAGATTAAAAACCTTCCGGCCGCAGCCCCAGGAGCCCGGCGGGGCGGGGCCGGCAGGGGCATGGGCGGGGCCGGCCGACCCCGCCTGCCGAGCCTCACGCGGCGTTTGCATAAACCAGAGAGCTGGAGGGGCGGCTCTCAGAGTGCGCTGGAGAGGGAAGGCGGGTTACAGGCAGGCGTAGGGTTGGGGTGTGAATTAGGGACTTCTCTTCCTTTCAGAGCAGGAGTTACCAGACACCATAAAAGCCCTTCTCCTTTCTTTTCGCCCCAGATCCAAATCTCTGGGACTAGGTTGGCGCAGAAACCCCACTGGGCGCCCCCTTGTAAAGCGCACTTACTCAAAGGACTTGTTAAAAGTGAGCTGCTTGGCCGACGCGGAGAGCGCCCCCGGCAGTGCGCGCTCGGACGCGCAAAGGCGCGGGGCGGAGATGCATGCTGGGCGCCGGGAAGCTACTGGAAGATTGAGGGGCACGGAACTGGGACCTGAAGTGGGGAGACGGGGCGAGTAGGGGGCATACTAGACTGGGCAAGTTAAAAAGCAAGGACTTCGCAACTCCGAGACGGAGCCTGCCTGGGAGGAGTCTCTGGAGACGCAGGGTTGGGGCTCCTGAAGCTGGCAAGTTAGTGGGAAGGCAGGGGTCACGAACACAGCAGGAAAGTCTCATCACTGCGAAGGGGACGCGGCATCCATCTCTCCTCTAGAACTGAGGATACAGAAAGTCTGAGAATCTGCCCTTTTCTGGACCTTCTCCCCCGCCCCCACCCCCATCCCCTTCCTGACCCAGGACAGCTGGGCGGCGAACGCCAGAGGGTATCCGGTCACCCAGAACTCTCCTCCCAGAGTCACTGGGCTGAAATGTGTTGCGCAGCGGGTACGTGTGTCCGCGGGTGTGTCAGTGACCCTCGGCGGGGTTTGTGCAGCCAAACGGGGATGACTAGGCATCTGTGACAGTCCAGGCGTGCCTGGGCTCAGCTTCGGATGTCTGGTTCAGACACAGATCCGCATGTGACAGGGCTCATTTCCCCCGCCGGGAGGTGGCCTTTCCCTCCCCAATCACGACTCCCACCCTGGCCCTTCAGGGTTGTGACTTTACCTTCGAAAATGCTCATTCCTTCTTGGGTCCGGGTGGGCAGAAGGGGGGGTTGGTTAACGGAGGTGGGGGGGAGAAGGGAGGACAGAGGGGGAGAGGGAGAGGGAGAGAGAGAGAAGCTCTCAGAACCCGTAGTGCTCCAAGCCATTCACACACCTAGCGACTGGGATTTCAGGTCCCCCACACCTGCCTGCACCCCGCCAGCCTGCCCTTGGTCGCCCCTTGCTCCTTCGGAGGGGAAGGTGCCTCACTTTGGGGTCCCAAGTGCTGGAAATCTAGAGATACCGCCTACTTGCGCCCCGCCTCACCTGCCCTAGTCTCCGCTGGGGCTGCCGCCCACGCCTCCCCGTGCGCCCCCAGCTCCGCTTGGTCCCCCGGGGCCCGGGCCCTTGCGGCCTCGCTCTCCGCTCTTGATCTTCTTCCTCGCCATGTGGCCCCGGAAACTCGCCTGGATCTTGGCTGCGGCCGCGTTGGCGCCGGGGTCGTCCAGTGGGATGTCTAGAATATCATCTGGTTTGGAGCAGGCGCTTTCCTGGGAACAGGATGGGAAGTTTCTTCTGAGATAAGTGGGCCCCTAGTCAGGCAGACCCCTGGGACAGGGTAGGGGCAGAGTCCTGGAGGATGGAGATGGGGGCAGGCCAAAAGCACCAATCCTGGAGAGGAGCTAAGGCAGGGTCGCAGGGCTGAATAGAGGGTGGCTTTGTGGGAATTCCCTGGAAGGTGGTGGTGAAGAATCCGTAGGGCAGTCCCCTTCCTGAGAGAAATCACCCCGGAACTCAAAGCTGGAAGCAAAGTAGAGATGGCACCAGCACTCCATGCCTTCTCTCCCACTTCAACCCAACTCCCCAATGTCAGAGGCCCAGAGACAGATCTCCCACTGCCTCTCCATCCCACAGCTCCCAGAGTGAATCCAAACACAGAAGAGAGGATATGTTCTGGAAGAAGAGAAAAAAGGGCAAGGGAATGGTAAGTCACAAGAGGCCTTTCCCACTGTGTGCTCATGAAGAGGAAAGGAATAATGACAGGAGCTACTGTTTAAGCACTTAAATTGTTCCAGGCATAGTTTTATAGACATTAATTTATTTAGTCCTCATAACAAAGCTATGAAGTACTTTTTACCGTTACTCTTCTTTACACATAATAAAAATAAGGATTGTGGTGTTTAGAAACTTACCTGAGAACATAAGTTAGCAATGGACTGGAGTCCACAGCCTCGCTGTTGTAATGGGTTACATTCTGGGCTGCTAATAGAAAAGTCAACTGTTTGAATTCACCATTCACTCTGCATGAGAAAGCTGGGGCAGTCTGCTCCCATGAAGATTTACAGCATTGGAAACTTGATACAAGGGCGGCGACTGACCCAATGGCAGTGGGTTTTAGTACGCTATTCTACTGTGAAGGGTATTGGTTGTTAAGTGGTAGAATTCTCAATTTCCATTTGGGAGACCTGAGTTTGGTTCTCTGCCTCACTTCCTGACCAACATACCACAATGTCACCATCAGCTGAACAAGTTTCAATGGAGATTCCAGACTAAAACTAAGAGGAAAAACAGGTGATCTACTGAAAAAAAAAAAAATCAGCCAGTGAAAATCATATGGATTACAAGAGTCAAATCTAGTTGTACCTGGGGTCAACACGAGCTGGGAGTTAAAGTGGCAGCAGCTAATAACTTTGTTACATAATGAATGGCACAGAACAACAACAACCCTGTATGCTAAGAAAATGAACCAAGGCTCTACAGTTGTCTAAGCTTGGACATGCTAACTCCTTCATTTGAAAAATCAGAATAATAGTCTAGCAGCCTAGTGGGTAAGGAGTTGTACTGTCAACACTAAGGCACGTAGTGGTTTGAATCCACTAGTTACTCTGTGAGAAAAAAAGAAGCAGTCTCCTACCATGAAATTTATAGCCTCCGAAAACCTGCTGGAAGGTCAGCTATGAATCAGTTACAACTCAACAGCAATGATGACTCAAGGTCTCGCAGTCAGAGTGATTCATTTGCACTGCCCTCCCTCCTTTTTCTTCTAGGGCATGATAGCTGTTATGGAAGTGTTATTCATATCGTCTTGTTTCTTCTTCCCCAGATGAGAAAGATGGACAATCTCCTCCCAAGCAATTTACAGCCTCTGAAAACCCGCTGGCATGCCAGCTATGAGTCAGTTACAACTCAATAGCAATGAGTTTTGAGTATGAGAGCTGTTATTATTAAATGCTGTTGAGCTGGAACTGACTCATAGCTGACCTGACAGTGGGTTTTCAGAGGCTGTAAATTACATGGGAGGAGACTGCCCATCTTTCTCATCTGGGGAAGAAGAAACAATACAATATGAATAACACTTCCATACAGCTATTATGATTCTTTTAAATGATTATACTTAATCTATGCAAACATTTTTGTACCTTTAAGATATTATTATAGGTCAAATGTGGTTATATAATAATAGTTTCACATAGTTCAACCTAATTCTCTGGCTATAGAACAGGCTCTATTTTCCCACAGCTTGGCCTATCTGAGAGTAAAAGGGGTTAGGAAGTTGCAGGATTTTAGAGGCAAATTTGTGTAATGAAGGACTCAGCTCCTGCATCTCTGTTGCTTTACATTATTCATAGTGTTAGTGTGGACTGGGAAGAGGACAGTTACCATGGAGTTGGAAGGGCATGTCTCCCTTGATCTGGCCCTAGGGCTTACCCCACCTTTTTTTCTTTTTTAGAAATTTTTTTAAACTTTCATTCCCCTTGAGTGCTTTCACTATCTCGTTCTTCTGGGTTATGAGATGACTCAAGGTCTTACGGTCAAAGTGATTCATTTGCACTGTCATCCCTCCTTCCTGCCACCATCGATCCAGTTCATCCGAGTGGACTGGGTATGGCTCTGCTGTTCGTCTTCAAGAATCACCCAACCAAGGTCTGCTCCATGAGCGCATGCTTAATTAATTCCCCATGCCCAAGCCCTGGTGTGCAAGTTCTTTCCATCCCTTAATATACCCTTGTCATGTGTCCCAAGGGTATCTTCATTTCCTGAGCTCCAAAATTAAAATCGTGCTCAAAATGTAGGCAAATGATTTAAACATATTTACAAGGAGTTACCAAGATGTCGATGCAGTGTGGAGATGTTTAACACATGCTTTTGTCATTCCCAGGTCTAGAGCTCTCTCTCTCTGACATTTTAATTCCTACCTAAAATCAGCAGCAACTCTTGGATTCCTTGATTTTTGGAGTTCAAGCTTCACTTTGGATATTGGCAGGCTTCTCTTCAAAAGAGGACAAGAACCTCATATAACAAACAAACTGCACCCAACCCACCTCCCCTCTTCAGCCTTGGCAGCTCTGAGGGAGTGGGGAGAATGCGTGGAGGAAGGGACATCTTCCCTCAGCTAAGACTTAACCTGCTGTTACCACCCACCCCAACTGGATCCAGAATGGAAACCTGGGGCAACAGGCAAAGCCACCCCCGACTCGACTCGCTGCTCTTCGCTGGAATCAGCCCTCCATTCTCTAGTTGGATTCTCAGAGCAGAGATGCCAGGTGGCCTGTCTTGTAGACAAAATGGGAGGGAGAACAAAGGAAGCCTGAATGAGGCTAGTTGGTCATGGGGTCAGGGCTGGTGCCTTCCTAAACCAAGATCTGATGGTATATGCCTGAAAAATCTCCTTCAGCTCCTAAATCTTAATAGCTTTAAGAATTATCACATAAAGTTCTAAGTTTTCTGCACATATTACTTCATTTATCTGATTATATCAATCAGAAAACTGAACCCCAGAGAGGTTTGTGAAGAAGCCTGTGCAGTTAACCATAGCCTCATCGGTCTGGTCTATAAATTCATTTGAAATGAGTCAACCAGGTAGTGCAAAAGAAAGATGGAAATGCCCCAAACACGTTTATTTTCTTTTCACATAAAATTAATGCAGCAAAATAACATTTTTAAATCAGAAGGAGCCCTCGTGGCACAGTAGTTAAGTGCTGTTGTTGTGTACCACAGAGTCAGAACCCACCCATAGTTAACCCTCCAGCAAGTTTTCAGAGGCAGTTAATTGCATGGGAGGAGACTGCCCATCCTGTTTCCGTGGAGCAGCTGATAGCCTCGAACCGCGTGCCTTCGAGACTGCAGCAAAAGATCAAGGATTGGAAACCACTAGCTGTTCTGACAAGAAATAGACTAGGTGATTAATTTGCTTCTGTAAAGATCACACAGTTGGCAACCCGACAGGACAGTTCTACACTGTCCTACAAGGGTACTGAGCCAGAATTGACTTGATGGGTGTTTACCCTGCCACCGCGTTTTTGCCAAACAGGTCTGGTGGTCAGTAAGGAGATCTCTAAAGGGAAAAGAAAAGGGACCTACCATTAGTCCCTAAGATGCATGCTTCTCTCTCTCTCTGGCCCAAGCTCTCTTTCAGAACTGGATATCATCCAGCAGAAAGGGCCCCAGTGTCGACTGTGCCTGCCACTTTTTCTCCAGTGCACAATTTCAAGCGAGTGTTTCTCCTGCTCAGCCTAATTTAGGTTTTCCAGACTTAGGAGGGGAGAAAAGAGGAATACTTCTGTGCACAGGGTGCATTGTATTAATGTCACAGGACCCTAGGCTGCTGGGATAACTGAGTATTTTCCTCCCTCTCTGGTACAGTTTCTGGTGGCCTAATGGTAAGGAGTTGCACTATTAACCCAAAGACAGGCAGTTCAAATCCACCAGCTGCTCCATGGGAGGAAGATGGGCAATTTCCTCCCCTGTGATTTACTGTCTCTGAAAACTTGCTAGAAGGTCAGGTAGGGGTCAGTTCTGATTCTGTGGTACATATACAATAAGAGAGATTTACTGTCTCTGAAGACCCTCTGGAAGGTCAGGTATGAGCTGGCTACAGCACATAACAGCAAACAATTGTTTGCCTCAATAAATTTTCCCTCATTTTCCCAGAAAACATGTGTTCCATAATCTCTCTATATGACTTTCTGGACACTTCTAGCTTGTAAGCTTGTAAAGTCTATTGCTGACCAGGGCCTACAGAGTTGGACTTCCAGTTGCACTAGAGCAGACATGTTACATTGCTTCTTGGATTTTCATGCTTTTTCATCTCCCTCCTGCTTTCCCTAATTTTCCTTTCTCAGCAGTATCCCAGACTGGGCACTCCTCCATCTCATATCTTAGAATCCAGAATCTTTTTTTTCTTTTTACTTTATAAAACACTGCCAAGGAAGAAGGCATCCTGCTCAGTGGCGTCCAGGAACCTCCGTTAACAGACCAATCCCTTTTAGGTGAATAACAAGCAGAAAGGAAGACTGGAAGGAGTTATGTCAATGTTTTTCTCTAGATGATGTAATAGTAGATGATGGACATTTTTCTTTTATATATATATTTCTGTAGTTTAAAAGTTCCTGTCATGAGCCTGTTAACTTTTTAAAAAATATTGTATTGTGTTTTTGATGAAAGTTTGCATAGCAAATTAAGTACCTACTGAACAATTTCTATACCAATCGTTCTGCGACATTGGCTAAAATTTGTACAATATGTCACCATTCTCAGTATTTCTGTTCTGGCTGTTATAGGCACATTACTCTTTTTATAAGGAAGGGGAGAAAACCCACAATTATTTAGAGGAGAGATTAAAGTACAATTATTTTAATCAGGGCTATTTTTAAAATCAGCCTCCTTGGCCAATACCTTTCAAAACCTCAGTTTGTATATCTGGTGAAATGGGAGAAGCAACACCCATCTCCTATGATTGCTGCAATGGTTAAATAACAAGTACTAAGCACATAATTTCTAAGTGGTACAAAGAAGTGAACCTTGCTGCTAATAGAAAGGTTGGTGGTTCAAATATACTCATAGGGACTTCAGAACAAAGGCCTGGTCATCTACTTTGGAAACATCAGCCATTGAAAACCTTGTGTATCCCAGTTCTACCCTGACACATGTAGGGTCACTGTGAGTTGGAATCAACTCTGAAAGGGCACTGGTTTGTTGCTGTTGTTGTTTAGTTATATAGTAAGCATTCACAAATTGGCAACTATTATCGGTACTATTAAGAGTTAAAAATCAGAATCATTAAGACTTGCTCCTAAGCTCTCTGGCTCTTAGCAAGAGATAGGAAAGTCTTATCCCTTATGTAACTTGACTATCTTTTCCTTCCACACCACTTATCTTTTCCTTTGGTACACTTGCCAGGGAGCCATTGAGTGGAGGACCGGAAATCTCTTGTGTTGTTAGCTGCCTGACTGAATGGGAATACAGGAATACAGGGCTTCTACTCGTTTCTTCCCCTTCTTAGGGTTTAAAAACATAATAGATATTTTAAGTAGTACAATAGATATAATTTTATTTTAAAATAGTTACATTAAAATGTAATTTGTTATTTAAATATCTATTTATTTATATATTCACCCACACATATATCTGCTATACTTCTATGAGCCAACACCCGGGTTCTGGTTTAGGCTCTTTCTTAGCAACTCACCTAGCAGCAACCTATTTTCTAGTTAGGCACTAGCTGCGTTCTGGGTCCCGTGTGGGCGTGACAAATAGAAGACACTTCCTTCCCTCGCCAGCAGGGGTCTCCCGCGGTCACCTCACCCAGCCCCCTCCAGAGGGAGAAGGCGTGGGGGGCTGCATCGACTCCTCCCCAGAACCACCCTGACTAGGCTCTTAGCTGCCCGACATCACGACTGAACCAATCGTGATCAAGTGATTGTCCCACCCTGCGCTGTCCACGGCGCTTAGGCAACTGTCAGGAGGTGGTGGGGATCATCAATCTGCCCGCCCGCCCGCCCACCGTGGCTGCAGCGGGATGGAGAATGGGGGTGGGGGCCGAGAGCTAAAGGGAAAGAAATCGCTGCAGCCCCGTCAGGTGACAGCTTCTGGCGTTTGGCTGGGGGAAGTTCCTCCTCTTGTCTACAATGTAGCTTTCCTGCTTCAGTCTGAAACCAGGGACTCTGTAACAGGTTGCAGAGCTCCCGGTCCAGTCTAGACTGTCTGGCGGATGGCGCTCAGACGCCCCCGCGAGGAGGGGAGCATATTTCCTCGGGTGTCCAAGTCAGATGGTCGCCTTCCATCGCCCCTACCCACGCCTCAGCAGGGACCCCCTACAGCTCCTTGTTGTCTTCCACTTCCATCCTCTCGCCCTTCAGGGCCCTCCGGCGCTCTTTGCCCACAGCAAACCGCTGGACAGTCCAGACCCTAACTTACCGTGCAGCAGTCCATACTCGTGTTGGGGGGGTCCTTGGCTGGGGTGGAGGTGTAAGCAGGACGGAGGTGGGGTCTGTCTGAGGTTACGTGGACTCTGGGGCTCGGGGACGCCCGCTGACGCGCGCCCCACAAGCCGCTCTCCTCTCCGGTCCTCTCTCCCGCGCTCAGCTCAGCTCGCAAATGTAACCTGAGCCCCACGGCACATGAGCCAATCAGAAGGCGCTTTTGCCCAGATGGGCGGGGAGAATAAGTGAGGCCACGCCCCCGTCTCCCTGTACCTTCCTCCTCCTCTGGCCCCAGCCCCTGCGCCCACACACTTCCATCCAGCCTCCTACATACCCATCCGCCCAGCTCACCCATGCTTGCTGCGGGGTCAGAGAGAGCAGAAGGAGGCCCAGACAACCCTGGGCACAAAGGCACTCACATCTGGGCACAGCACTCCTTCCCCCCATGTAGAGAAAGCAGCCCCCACCACCGCCTCACACTTCCACAACCTAGCTCGAGTCCCAAATATGGCTTCCTCTAACTTTCCTCTCCTTCAGTGGGCAGACGTGTTTCCTGAGATAAGCAGTAAAAAGTCCCCTCACCACTCCTGCTTCTTCTTCCACGTCCACTGAGGGTATGTATAATGCAGAGATGGAGATAGACACCAAAACTCGTAGGGCCTGCGTTTCCATAGATGAGTGCCCGAGCATCACGGAGATGTCCAATTCTCTCAACATGCAGACACATTTATTCTATTACTTGTGAAAATGACTACACAGTTTTTGTGCCTAACATCCTGTGTAGATAAATTCAGGTGCCCTGTTATATCACACACACACACACACACACACACACACACACGCGCGCGCGCGCGCGCACCAGAATGTCTGCAATATATATATCTATTTTTCTATCCAACCATCCTGCACCAGTACACAAAATATATGCGCCGCACCCATTTTGTATGCTTTTATATAGACACTTGGAAGAAACCTTCCCTCTGATTCCTCATCCCAGAATCTCCCTAACATTTTGACTCACTGTCTCTGGATAAAACAAAAATTGGCTACTGTATCAACTAAGATCTTAAAAGCATTTGAGCTGTCATCTAATGTGCCACCCTTGGTCTCTCCCTGTCCAGAACACAGAAGTAAGAAAAACAAAGATGCATGGTAACAGTCCAAAGGACCAATCCACCATGTGAACCTCATCTTCTGTGACTCAGACCAGGAGAACTAGATGGTGCCCAGCTAAAGCTGCTGACCACTCTAAAAGCGCTCACAAAAGATCCTGCACAGAGTGGAAGGGAAATGTAGAAGAAAATGAAAAACACCATAAAAAATGGTCAGGCTTATTGGTCAGTTAGAGACTGGTAGAAATCCTGAGACTTAGGATGCTTTGCCGTCCTTCAGACTTGGGGTACAACTCATACCTGTGACTCAGCTTTCATCCAAACAACAGACATGCCTTTAAATTGAACAATAACACAAAAAAGCCACTTACTCTTTAGAATAATCAACCTTGTAAGTCAGAAGGGAAGAATTTGTCCAGGAATAAAGGTGAGAAGGAAGGGGAAAGTAGGAAAGAAGGACTAATGAGAATGAAAAATCACAGAGGAAAACTCGCAGTGTGCTGTTATTTTGTTTTGTAACCAGGTCATTAAACAAAATGTGTGTGTGAATAGTTGAGAAGAAAACCAGTTTGCTTTGGAAACTTTCAATCAAATCACAATAAAAAAGTGGAATAAGAGAACCCAATAACAACAAGAACTTGACTTCCTTATATGTAGGAGAAGAAACAACCCCCCAAAGCAAACAAGATAATTTCAGAAGTAACTGGCTCTTTGAGCCCATTATCAAGGAAGGATGTAGGCTTTGTGAGGCACTGGTAAGGGGAGATATGAGGGTCATCTGGGAAGAACTGTCACATCACTTTTGTGCTCCTTCATCTCTTCCAATTTGCCAGGACACCGGGACTGCCAGAATAGCATGTTATGTGGCCAAGGTGGTCTTTTGAGAAAACTAGGAAGTCTTTCTCAGCTAACATCCAGAAGAAGGAGTAGTGGCTGTGCCTAGGGTATCTTAACTAAGGTAGAAGAACAAGGGAGGGGAAAAGGGCCAGTGGATGTGGGTAGGACAGGGACCTTGAAACAAACTCCCAACCCATGGGCCAGCCACAGCGTGGCCACATCTGCTTTCTTTCCTTGCCAAAGGGAAAGTGACTGGGAAGGAGATTCTGGTGTCCACTCAGCATGGACACTTAGCCAGCTGGAGTCTCTAGGCTGAGCTGGATACTGGCTGCAATTCCAGGGCTTGAGGGGTAGGGGTGTCTCTCCCAGCATGTTTAGGACCCACCCACCCTTGTAACTGAAAATCTGTTCCCCAATCTGTCTCTCGCATATCTTCCACCCCCACCTCCACCAAATGGCAGTGTGTTCTGGGAACCCAAGCCCTGGCACATCTGGGGCTGAGCATGTACCAGCTCCCACAGGACATCAACCCTAGGATCCAGAGGCTTGGGGAAAGGAGGAAAATGGGGGCTCAGAGGATATTAGGCCTGGACTCTCTGCTTTTCTCTTCCTGAATTAGAGCCAAAAAATTCAGAATTTGGTGAGTTTGCAGTAAAGTCTCCCAAGTTGCTAGGCAACATCCCTCTGCAGGCTGCTTTGCCTCTGGGCCCTTCTTCCTGCTGGTCAGAGCTGAAAGGGGGAATCTTTACAGCCCCCTCCATCCTTCCCTCACTCCTCTGACTCCCACATCAGCAACACAGCCCTTCCTTCTTCCTGAAAAACACCTTTGTGTGGGTGTGAGTGTCTCGAACACTGGCAGGCCAATGGGAGACCAGATATGGCAACTGGCAGTTTCATCCTCAAAACAACCATTTCAGCAACAGCCCACTCAAGGCGCCTACGCAGAACTGGCCGCAACGCTGGCCCTGGGGGATGGGCAGGCTCTGAGGTGAGGAACAGATAGAGAGCGAGGCAGAGACATGAATGAGAATACAGACATGCACAGACTCAGATACCGAGAGGCACACACAGCAACACAGAAGGCTTCATAGATACAACATACATATAGAGACCCAAAGAGACAGACACACACACTGTTGTACATCCACTGGACACATATGGAGAAGGCGTTGGCACATTTTGACAACCACAAAGATGTGCACAGGAGTAGACCCTTCACTTTGGCATGAGGGCCACATGGTTGCCCTGGTGATGAACCAAGTAGTTGGGATTTGTCAGTAAGGTAGCTGGATGAGACTCTGAGCCACTGATATTTGATCAGCTAAGGTCAGGACAAGCACAGGGTAGGATGTCTGGGTCTGGATGCTTTGAGGAGCAGATAGGCCCGCTCTGGGAATCTCTGGTCTTTGGCAGAGCAAAGACACCTGGTATAGCCTTTGCTCAACAGCCTGACCTAGGACCTAGGTGCCAAAGACCAACCTTTGGAGTGCAACCTGTTAACCAGCTAAGTGTAGATTCCATAGTTGTCATTTTTGACTCTGAATTCCAACTTTTTCCAGCCCTCTGGTGATTAAAGGAGAAGAGATGCTGGATTAGAGACAAGAGGACTCCTGATTGGAGGAGCAGAGCACACCATGGGCTGCATCCAGCAGGAAGAGGGAAGGGGCTCAGAATAAAAATCAAGGAAAGTGTTAGATCAAGGAGGATTCCTATGACCTTCTGAAATCTGTACTGATGCTACTTGGGACAAATGGACTAGTCCAGATAAGCAAACAGCAATCGACTTGCCAATACTTATGACTTCCCTCCCTGAGTGGGTACAATCTGAACATAGCATCCCAGCTCAAGCCCACAAGGGAATCTATACGAAGAAGTGGGTTGAAAAGTAGGAGGTTTATACCTTCAGTGGAGCCAATCTGGGGTTTTCTCAGGTCAGGATTTTACCAGTTTGAGTGGAGGGAGTGGAGGTAGCATGAAATTCCGTTTTCTCTGCAAATATTTCAGCTTTTGCTGTAGTAGTATTTTTAGCGATTTGGTTGACAGAGGAGGAGCCTGGGTACATTTTTAAAGGGGCTTCTGCCAGACGAAAGGCCTCCTCCCACCCTCACCCCACATGTCATAAAGGGGAGGGCAGAAAGCACATAATTCAAAGGCTGGGTTCAGACTTAAAAACCAAGTTTTCTAGGCACTAGGTTGTCCTGGACATTCCATCTCTGCCTTTGAGCTTTCATCACCATCAGCATCGTTATCATCAGTAGCACTGTAAAAACAAACAAACAACAAAACCAAAACACTTCAAACTCATTGCCATCAAGTCAGAATCAACCCGTAGCTGACCCTCCAGTGGGTTTGCAGAGGCTGTAAATTGCCCATCTTTCTCTGGAGGAGCAGCTGGTGGTTTTGAACCACTGGTATTTGGGCTGACAAAGCCGCCAGATTGATCAAGGATAAACATTTCTTGAACTTCTGACATTTGCAAAACATGGTTATAGACATGAAAAGATCGATCCTTATCTCAGAGGAATTCCTCATTCACTTGGCAGTAACCAACACTTAAGGAAAATTACATCTCATGTTCTGCTAGGCACTTCATTAAGTGTGAGGTCAGTTGCTTTTCACAATCTTTCAAATTAGGTATTTTTGCTTCATGTTTTATAGAAGAAAAATGGGAACGATTTACAGGTTGACTATCTAGTCAAGTTTACACAGCCTAGGTTAAAAATTAGAGCAGATTAACAACATTATCTTAAATTTGAACAGTGTGTGTGCGACAAACTGCTTTCTCATTTATTCTTTAATATGGTGCATCTGAGACGCTGGGCTGTAAGAGGAAGAATGTGGCATCAGGATTGATGGAAGAGTCATCAACAACCTGCATTATGCAGATGACACAACCCTGCTTGCTGAAACTGAGGAGGAACTGAAGCGCTTGCTGCAGAAGGTCAAGGACTGCAGCCTCCTATATGGATTGAAGCTCAGCATCAAGAAAACAAAGATTCTCACCACTGGGCCAATTGGCAGCATCAGTATGGATGGTGAAGAGATTGAGTTAACAGTTTTA